TCTTGTGTGTCTTGACACGCGGATGCCCTACGAATAACGGAAGCCAGTTGCGAGAACCACTTTGCTTGTCACTCACGCGCTACCTGGCGGACGTAACCCGGCGCGCCGGGTGGCAAAAAGTGCAGGTGCGGCGTCCACGAATTCATTGTGATATCTAAGAACCTGACATCGCCTTTACGCGCCGCTTGCTTGGCATAACCCGGCGCGCCGGGCGACGCACCACGCCTAGTCTGAACGCAGCATAAACACTTAGTCATACGAGCGTGTGTTCGTAGCCGGGCTGCGCGGGACCAGCGCGATGAGCTTGCAGGCTCAAGTTCTTTTGCCTACTTCGTGCCCCCCCGAAAAAAGGAACAAACCGCCTTGCGCGTCTTCGCACGGGGATGCCATCCGAATGATAGAAACCAGTTGCAAGAACTGCTCGCTTGTCATTCACGCGCTACCTGGCAGACGTAAACCCGGCGTGCTGGGTGCCGAAAAGCGCCGATGCGGCGTCCACGGATCATTGTGATACCTAAGCATCTGACATCGCCTTTGCGCTCCGCTTGCTTGGCATAACCCGGCGCGCCGGGCGACGCACCACGCCTAGTCGGAACGCAGCATAAACACTTAGTCATGCGAGCGTGTGTTCGTAGCCGGGCTGTGCGGGACAAGCACCATGAGCTTGCAGGCTCAAGTTCTTTTAAAACAAAACAGCCTTGCGCGTCTTCACACGCGGATGCCAAACGAATGATAGAAACCAGTTGCAAGAACCACTTTGCTTGTCACTCTCGCGTGACCAGGCGGACGTAAACCCGGCGCGCCGGGTGCCGAAGAGTGCGGATGTGGCGTCCACGAATTCATTGTGATATCAAAGCGTCTGACATCGATTTCTACGCGCCGCTTGCTTGGCATAACCCGGCGCGCCGGGCGACGCACCACGCCTAGTCTGAACGCAGCATAAACACTTAGTCATGCGAGCGTGTGTTCGTAGCCGGGCTGTGCGGGACAAGCACCATGAGCTTTCAGGTTCAAGTTTTTTTTACTACTTCAAAAGCCGGATAAAAGAACAAAACAGCTTTGCGCGTCTTCACACGCGTATGCCATCCGAATGATGGGAGCCAGCTGCAAGAACCATTTGCTCGTCACTCAAGCGCTATCTCGGACATAACCCGGCGCGCCGGGCAACGCAAAGTGTGGCTCTGGCGTGACAACAAAGACAATGTGTTGTCTCAACTGACGTCGACCGAATGCGCTGCATTCCTGGCGCTCGAAGTCGTCCGGGCGCTACGCGACGGACGTAACCCGGCGCGCCGGGCGACACGCAATGCCTAGTCTGCGCAGCCCAACGTTAATCGTGCGAACATATTCACGGCCGGGCTGCGCGGGAAACGCGCGACTAGCTGTCAGGCACCTGCTCTTTTAGCAGCTCCACAAAACAAATCAATGAACAAACGTTGTCTTGATCATGCGGCTGCCATCCGAGCGAGGGAAGCCTACTGCCACTGCGCGAGCCACTGCTGGGACGGATGTAAATGCAACGCGCGCGCCTGACGTCTATCAAGACACTGCTATCTAAGCACCTGACGTCGATTCTACGCGCGGGTTGCTTGGCGCTCGCGCGCTACTTGACAGAGTAACCCGGCACGCCGGGCGACGCGCGACGTCTAGTCTGAACGCAGCGCGAACACTTAGTCACGCGAGCGTGTGTTCGATGAGCTTCCAGGCTCAAGTTCTTTTAATTGCTTCATAAAGCGAATACAAGAACAAACCGTGTTGCATTTCTGGAAACGCGGACGCCATCCGAATGATGGAAGCCAAGTACACGAACCGCTTGCTTGGCGCTCGCGCGCTACTTAACGGACGTAACCCAGCGCGCTGGGCGACGCAGAGTGCGGATCAGGCGTCCACGAAGACATTCTGATATCCAAGCGTCTGACATCGATGTTACGCACCGCTAGCTGGGCGCTCGTGCTCTGCGTAACAGACATAACCCGGCGCGCCGGGCAACACACAATTCACGGCCGGGCTGTGCTGGACAAGCACGACGAGCTTCCAGGCTCAAGTTCCCTTAGCTACTTGATAGACCGAATCAAAGAACAAAACCGTCTTGTGTGTCTTGACACGCGGATGCCATCCGAATGATGGAAGCCAGCTGTGAGAACGAATTGCCTGTCACTCACGCGCTATCTCGGATGTAAACCGGCGCGCCGGGCAACACAAAGTGTGGCTCTGGCGTGACCACAAAGACAATGTGTTGTCTTCGCTGACGTCGACTCGACACGACGCATGCCTGGCGCTCAACGGCGTCTGGGCGCTACAAGTATTTCTACAACGCACTGTCGAGAAGATCTGAGGCTGCTGCCCAATCCAAGCTGCGAAAACCCACCGCCCACCCCCCCCCCAAGTTCGGGCCGGCGCAGCGCGGCGGCCCAAAATGGCATAGCAAACTCTGACTTTGAAAAATTGGTAAATGAACCAAAATTGCGAGGCCAGCAAAAGAGGGCAGTCACGTCACTGGCCCGGTTTGTTCATCTGAGGTGTGTAACGAGGGCGTGTATAGCGAGGGCGTGTATAGCGAGGGTGTGCAACGAGGGTGTGTAACGAGGGTGTGTAACGAGGGGTGTTGTAACGAGCCAGCTGGTTTTGTTACAGAGGTCTGTAACGAGGTCTGTAACGAATGTCCGCCGCGGCTCTGTTACAGACCCCTCAAAAAAAATCACTGCCATTTGGGTCAAAAAGAAACCAAAGAAACCAAAACCAAGGGCACTGTTTTTGGTTGCTCGAAAACCACAACTAAATCCAGGGGTCGGCGGCACTGGGCGGCAGCCCTTAAATAATATCAAGTCGCAAGGTCCAATGCAAAGCCAAATGCAGCCGTCTCAAACAAACAAATTCCCTGTCAAAAAGCAAAAAAACAACACAAAGCAGCACCCAAAAAACATGGACTTTTCCGACGAACTACTAGCGTGGCTATAGAGGTTGATATGGGTGAAACTTTAAACCTCAACCTCAGTAGAACCACCTAGTTTGGATCTGAAGCGATTGCAGGGTGCCAACAGGAATCAAGTTTGGGCGGAACGCGAGGTTCCTTCACATGCAACAACCCGTCCTCCGGGCGCGCAGAGCAGCGGTTTAGCCGAAAGGTCTGCGGAAGGAATCCAAGTCCCCCCCAAAAAAATGAACCGGTCCAAAACCAGTTGAACATCGGGGCAATGAGGCAAAAGGTGCTCTTTCTGTTTGGCTTTCTTCCAGAAAATAAGCTCAGGTGATATCCCCAACAGCATGCGGTGCTCTTTTAGTGCTCGCACCACCCCGCAGCCCTCGCAGAACCTCGTGGAACCCTGGTGCAACCTTGGTGGAATTGTGGTGGAACCCTCGTGGAACCTTACCTCAGGGCCGCCCCGGACCACCCCGGAGCCTATCTGGGCTGAGACCCCAAAGCTTTCAGCTGCTACGGAAAAAGTTCAAGGAAAGCCATGTTTTCGGGCCCTCTTTGACACTTCATTGAAGGACCCCTATTGAAGGGCTGCTCACATGTTGTGGGTAGGAAAGAGTGCCCCGGGTTCCACTACTAGAGCTGCCCATTACCCATGAATCTTTTGGAGAATCGGACATCGGAGACACCGAACCGGCTCACAGCAATAGGCCGAGCAGTGTTCCACGCTTACGTCGGGAAGGACATGTGTCAAAAATCCGCACTACAAATGGCTTCGGTTTCCTCCCGAACAGGGTACCGAGCCTGGAAAGGCAGAAAACCCGGAGGTGCCACCATCTGGTGAATCTGGTGTCGGCTGCCGGTGTGCGGGCGAGTCGCTGGATCCGTTTGAAGCTGCCCATCACTCGCTCGGTGCCGCGTCATATCTACAGTGCCCTATGTACATCATGCATCCCTCAGCCGCCAGTCGGCCCTTCGATCCATCTGAAAACCCAGAAAAAAACTATCAACATGCACCATGAACTGCTTTCAAGGGACCTTGGGTGGAAGCCATCACAAGTTCTTCGCACCCCAAGATCTGTATCTCTGAAGGACAAGCTGGCACGAATTCGGGCGAGCTGGAACCTGGGCGCTGCAAATCCTTGAGCCCGCTGACTCGCTCCGATCGATCACCCGGTGATGTCTTCTTTTGAGCTTGGTGCTAACTTGGCCCAGAAACCAGGCAGCTGGGCAGCTGGGCTGGGCATGCTCAACAAACGAACTCAACTTGCAGCGAACTTGGCACTTGCAAACCAGAGGGCCTAAAAGGGCACTCCTCTGTGAGAGAACCTTTCCTGCAGAACACCTGCGGGAAGGGACCTCCTATTAAAAGCTTGGCGCCTCGCGCAAATGCTTCCAATGGGTATTTAAGCCAAGGGGAGATGCACATTTTGGCTCAGTGAACCAAGGTCTCCGTAAAAGTCGGGTCATGGTCCAAAAGCGCATGCCGCCCTGCGCATGGAAACTGCGGCGTGGGCCAGTTGAAATCTCGAGGTCCCATTCGGACCTCGTTGCGGCTGTACGGATGGAAGCCGGGCGATGGGGTAATGCAGGACGTTTCTTTCGTCCCAATCGCGCCGAATCTTTGCAACGGCAGGTCGCCAATTCATGCGGGGTCGCAGCATGTAGGAATATGGGATGATCTGAATGGACCCTTTGGAGGACATCATGGGGGCGTAGTCCACCAGTCTCAAAGGTACCCAAATTCGTACGGAGCTAACGCAACCCATGGTGAAGGCATCGATCCCACAGTCCCCAGGAAGCACGGCTGAGGGGCAAAAGTTTGCAGCCCATGCCCGCAGGGAACCGATCCGGAAGCCAGGGTTGCAAAGCTGCACTCTGGGGGGGGGGCGCCCTTTTACCTCAACTTTGAGAACAAGGACCCAAGGGGAAGAGAATTCGCCATGCAGCACTTGCTAGCTTCAAACATGTCGCGTTTCTCACTCGAAGAAGCGGTGCTTCACCGACGGATCAAGCCGGCCGTCGCGCGTGTCCTTATCTCCCGCCGGCAGTTGTCGCCGCGGTACCTTCTGGATCTTCGGAATGCCCAAAGCTTTCTTGGCGTCGGCACTGATCCATCGAGCCGCTTTGAAAAATGTCGGCCTGTGCAGCTTGGGCGCGGAGGGCGGTTTGCGGCCCGCAAACGCCGCATCCTTGCGACCCTCGCTGCATTTGGAACGCGAAGAGGTGAACGCACCGGGGGTGTTGGCGAAGCAGCCATGCCACCTGCACATGAATCAGCGATGGCTTTGGATCAAATGTCGGAAGCCACAACCAAGCTTTGACAAGGAAGGTACCCAAACAGGGATCCTTACATTATAAAATTATACACCTGAACATTGCCTTGTAAATGGTGGTTTCCCTTTGTTTTGGCGGAAGAAGTAACATGTTTCAAATGGGCAGAATGGAGATCTTTTAAGGAGCCCTGCCAAAGGTGGCTGCTTCCGGCGGAGAATGCCCTCGCGGCCGTTGCGCCTCCGGACCTTCACGTCAGCGCCTCAGCTGTCGGCAGCTTGGAACATCTTGCGTAATTACTCCCCATCGGTATGATTTTCTGCTTTTGGTTCTCCCTTTCTCCCTTGAACAATTAAAAAACCATGCCAAAGGCACCCATCCATTTGTTCGCCAAGATTTGGCCGCGAACCTTCTGGCTTCGCTGCAAAACCCTCCTGGTTGGGGCTTCGGCTGCCGCAAGGTGCGCCGGATAATGTCTTGCGCTGACGGACCTCGGCGAGGTCCGAAGGTCCAACCCAGGCCGCGAGCAAACCTTTGTGCTGCCATTGGGCCACGCGTAAAGGCCGCAACCCCAGACGTCAGTACATCATGGCACGTTCAGAAAGATCTCATGCAACCTTTCTGAAAAAGCGCACACTGAGGAATTCAAATCGCTCGCAAAGCGAGCGGGGTCCATCCAGCGATTGGGCCTGGATGTTGCACCCAACGTTCGGGGGCTTTCAATATATGTTTGCAGACACAAAGCACTGGGAGAGGAAACCCGCTTTGAAATTGAAAGCTGCTTTCCAACTGGATCCCTTTTCCTAATCCGTCCGTGAAACACGAAGACAAGGGAAACTACCATCCAGCATCAGGCTTGAGGATTGATTTTGAAATTTCGAACCGCCCAGAAAACCCAGGACCCCAAAAGAACCCCCAAAGAAAGCAGAAAAGCAAAAAGAACCCCCCCACACCTTATGCCCGATTCCGATTGAGGCGCTGGCCAGCTAGGACGGGATGCCGAGCAGCCAAGCCACAGGAGGCAATCTGTTCGGAGCCGATCCGATTGAAAACCTTCAATCATAGGCGTCCTGTTGCTGTAAGAATAGATGGGTGTCGGCAAATGGCTAAGCCAATCTAAACCAGTGGAGCCCATCTATTTATTTTTCAAACTAACCTAGTACACCTTATGGACGCGACAGGATTCCCCATGGACGAAATCGGCACTTCGCACCACTTGATTCACTTGATGGATGAAGCCCAATAAAATCATGGCAGAAGCCACCAATCTCAACGGGTGCGAGTTTGAAATCGTCCACAGTAGTTCCCCGTTAAACCTCACGGAAGCTCACTTCTGGCCCGAAAGGTGATATCAAAACCACCCTTGGACGTATATACACAATATAATATAGATATATATATATATATAATATCATATATATATTATTATTATTATTATTATTATTATTATTATTATTATTATTATTATTATTATTATTATTATTATTATTATTATTATTATTATTATTATTATTATTATTATTATTATTATTATTATTATTATTATTATTATTATTATTATTATTATTATTATTATTATTATTATTATTATTATTATTATTATTATTATTATTATTATTATTATTATTATTATTATTATTATTATTATTATTATGTACACCCCATCGGAAGCAACAACTCCCAAATGGGGCGAGTTTCACAAGAGACATGAGACGCATCGGGTCAACAAACATGTGGACCCGCCAAACAAACAAGCAAATAACAAGCCCAGGTGGTATTCCCAACAGCCCCGAAACTCCCTCGGAAACGTCCGGAACCTTCCTGAAAGCTGCCACTTCGGAGACTATCTGGGCAAAGACCGGGAAAAATGGTGGCCGAGTCGGGGAGATCTGCGGGATGGACCGACAAAAAGGTAACCCTCACCATCAGGCCAGTTGGCTCAGCATGCGGGAGGTGTCCTAAAATTTGAAAGCTGCCACCATATATTCTCAAAGAGCAGTCAACAGACAACCAGCCATGTCCAAACCGTAGGAACTCGTGAAGCCGCTTCGTAGGCGAAAGAAAAACACACAAGGCCGAGCATTTGGGTGTGTCTCGGAAAAGGGGACCCCCCAAAGAATGGCTTCGGCTTCAAAATGGTTTTCCCTTTGAAGCCACCCGGGTACACCCAAAAATGAGAGGGTTTTCCTCGTGGTGTTCCTCTAAAACAAGCGGCCCGGTAAGCCAAGAGCACGCGCGCTCTGAAGATCGCGCCTTGGCCCGGCGAGTGGCCTGTGAGCGCGGGAGTGACCCTCCAAGCAAGTGGGTGGCTCGTCTTCTTTCTGGAGTTGGTGCCCCTTGGTTGGTGGTGCCAAAGGGAAACCAAAAGGAACAGTGAAGCCATTTTGGGGGTCCGGCCGTACAAAAGGCAAATAAGTGCCCTTTGGCTTCTTTTCAGCCACAAACAAAAAATATGGATCATCAAAACCCACCAAATAGCGCCGCTCTTTCCCAACTCCGCCCACTGCGCTTCTCTGTTTCATCGACTGATCTGACGGTGGATTGCCAGCCATGTGGCTGGAAAAAGATGAGCCTGGCGTTGAAGAACCAACTCATCATGGGGGCACGGGGGAGGAGGGGAGGGGGAGGGAACCCAAATAAGCCCTTATTAAGCCCCGAATAGTATGGCCTTAATTGGGGCTTATTGGGGCCCCCTCCCCAGCCCCCATGAACTCAACGGTTCGGCGTTCTTTCATAAGGATCTCCGCCCAAGGCTTCGCTGGTGATTTTCTCACTTTTTGGACGGGGCCAAGGATGCGGAGCTGAGATCGATTTGGGTATCTCAAACAAATCCACAGTGACACCGGCGTCTTTGCAAAACAAGTTCAACTCCCGGAGAAAGAGAAAAGAAAGGAAAACATAACCCATGAAAAGGACCTTCCTGGGTAGCCTGGCCTCCTTTTTCCGGGCACATAATTAACAAATTTGGTCAATCCCATGCAGACGAAAAATCGGAATCCAACTTCTTCCCGAGGCCTCGTTGCTTGGCCACAAAGCTGCCTCCAGAGACGCCAGAAGCTCAGACCTCACTCGACGGCGCTCCGCGGGCTTGGTGGCGCTTCATTTTTTTCTCGAGATTGGTACCCTGTTCAGGGGGTGGGTTAAAGGGAAATCAGAAGGAAACCACTCATTTTGGAGATCCGATTTTAAGACACCCATGTACCATCCATCACAAAGCAATCTGTTAGTGGTAAACTTCCGAAGTCATATTAATATGTGTTGACCTTGAAACAGGGCAGGCCGTGGAAAGTCCCAGCAGCCACGGCAAGCAGCAACCAATCTCTACCCCCAACTCCAACCTCAAAAAACGTGCCTGCCCAAGCCCCCACAAACGACTTCCCTCGAACCTGCAAGGGAAATGTATGGATCTTCAGGGTCCCCGCCTCTTCCATATACTTAACACAAAGCTTAAGGTAGAACCAAGGGCCCGGAAAATGTGGTCATGTTCCCTTGAATCCCAAAAAGGGAAGCCTCCTAAAATCATGGGACGGGGAAGCCTCCAAATTGGCACATCCCCCGGCCATCCGAATTCCAACGCCGATTTGACTCAGCCCGCAGCCCGGCCATCACGTTGTCGCGCGCCACGGCCAGTGGGGTTCGCCCGTCCAGGCTCGAGGCCAGCGGGTCTGCGCCTCATCGAAATGGGTGGCTCGTCTGTTTGTGGAGGTAACCTGCTTCTTGTGGTTTTGCAGGCAAACCAAAAAGACAACCCAAGCCATCTGTGGGGGTCCAACCTGAAAAAGACAGACCTGCCGGTGTGTTTGGTGGTGTTGGCTTGGAGCCTTCGTGCAACAGTGGGCGGTGCGAATCCCCACACCACCCGCTTTTACTCTAAGCTAGATAATGTTTAGAAGCTACTTATATAATTCAAAATAATTGCTGAAAGGCCAAATAGATCAAAGCAATAGGTTTTGTTCATGTTGGTACGTTTTGGTATTCCTTTCAAAACAACAAGTCGCGACAACACTCTGAGATCCGCGCGAAAAGTGACGAGCAAGGCGCACACCTGTCACTCTGAACTGTGAGCAAACGTAGATGGACAAAATCCAATTCGCACCTGGGTATGAGGTCTGATTTGAGTACAGGACCACTCACAACTGGTGCTTTTAGCGGATTATGTCCAAACGCATTGCAACTGGAGAGGCCAACGTAAGAGAGGGAGATCATTCGAGACTTGAAAGACATGGGTGACTTGTTTCATCTTCAGTCAACGTTCTTATCAAGTTATATATTGATGCTCATTGCGTTGCACATGCCTGCAAACATGTGGGCTTCACCGTCATCTGTTCATTATCTAACACAGCTTTGACCCAAATACATGTTGTGTGCCGAGATGGACAGATCTTTATGGCCCCGATCGGTTTCGAGGCATTCTGTGTACAGAAAGTAACTCTGCAGCTGCAACAGCGGTGCAAAACCACGCGGCACGAATTCCAACACATTCTCAAATGGAACCCCCCCTAAGACACCCATGTTGACGGCCCTCCTTTGACCCATGCGCAGTCCCGTCCTCCGCGTGCCCGCACTCGGCGGCCAAGAGCAGTGGAGTCGGCGTGCCTCACGGCCCAGTCCCACCATATGGTTCTCAGCAGGTAATAAGGGAATGACCGCTATAAACCATCCAAATGTGGTTTCCTTTAAGGGAATCCTTAAGTGCATTCCCAACACCCTGGGTCATTCCCGACTGAGCCCCAGCAAGAAGATCAAAGACCAAACGGAGATGTGCTTGGGATGTAAGACTAAAATGACTTAACTTGTTCAACTCTGAAAGCGGAGATGTCTTTTGGGGAAGGAGCAGTTTTATGAAAACCGTCCACAAGGGTCTTGGACAAAATCGACACAAAGGTCTGGTCATGGGCATTCCCTCCGTTGGGTCGCAAGGCTGGCCCCTCCCAAAAGCATGTGAACTGCGACCCATGTAGCTGTGGGGGTGCCCTATTTGGATATGGAGGCGTTTGGTTTCCATTTAAACAAGCTCACGAAAACGGGACGCTCATAAAAAGGCACGCACACACTCACACACACAGTTGGGACCCGCAGCAGAATGGAGTTTGATTGGGAAGCCAAAGGGTAACCCTTTTAAGGGGTCTGCTACTTGGTCTCTCGATCAAGGAACCATGTTGGGTGACAAGATATCCTTTTAAATGTCCTCCAAAAGCTGGTTTCCCTTTCATCCCCCATAAAAACTCCCCAAAGTGTCGCACGTCGCGTGGTTCACCGGCAAGAATTGCGTCTGAGCCACAGGCCACAGTCTAGGTCACTCAGGCCTGCGATGCGAATATGGGTCTCTTTTTTTTGCGTTTTTTGGCGGGGGGCCGCATCCTTGGGGTTGGCTTTAAAGGGCAACAAAAGGAAACCAAGCACCTGGAGGGGCCCTCATGCCATTTTTTCAAACCAGCAGGATTGGACAAGCAAAGGTACAAGCAGACCCGAAAAAGCAGAGTCTAGGGAAAGAAGTTTCGGAAACGCAAAGTATTCAATACTGGAAAACAATTTTAATTCAATCGGATAGGATAGCTTTGGCTGGGGGCTGGCCCGCTCTGAGCCCTGGCACCTGTGCAAGCCACGTCCGAATGTCCGGGGAGGAGTTGGGTGTGTTTGTGGTTGAGGCTGCCTGTTTTGATGTTTGCGCTGTTGCTTATCTTCAGACACTGTATGGACCTAGGCAGGAATGGTTCCACGAGGGCTCGAACCCAGGGTCCTGTTGATTTTAAGGGAAAGAAAATGGGTTGAAGTCATTGGGTTTCCAAAGCGGAAACCTAAGCTCAAGGCGTTGCGAATGGCAAATGACTCCGAGAAAGCCCCCCTGAAGACTCCTGTAGCACAATCTGCAGGAAGTTCAGCGAACTACAGGAAGTTCAGCGAAGGACCCCTGATGATTTTCTTCAATGTTCTGGAAGTGTTGGGCATTATTTTGTTTCTATGACTTTTTGGGGGCATAGCCTTTACACATGAGTCGATGATCCATCAATTCAGATTCGTGATCAGCTTTTTTTCCGGGTCTCGAGAACCTTTCTGTTGGACATGTTGACTTCTGAAGAACAGCGGCCGGTACTCGTCAGGGGCCGGCTTTTGGGACTTCTGATCTGTTTCAGGGGCTCATAAAACAATCATGCAAGCTGGCAAAGAAAATGGAGGTACCCACACAGATCCAGGTGACCCGGATCTCCTCTTCTGACCAAAAGAAGCCCCGAGTCTGGCGAGTGCCGGTTCCCCCCCGAAATCCGACGCCTGGAGCTCCATCCGGCGAGGAGCCGCACTGCAGCAAGGCGTAGCCTCGACGCGAGACCCAAGTTGGAATGCTCAACAAATGGGCGTGGCTCAAAATCGTTTTGGTTCCGTTTTTTTGAGCCACAGCCAAATGACTCAAACAAAACATAGTAACAAACATGTACAAGACGCAGATTGTGTGCCTTGTTTGGCCAAAAGCGGTCCCAAAATCGGTCCCAAAATCCTCGGAGCCTCAGGTTTTGAAGTAAGGCCCCGTCACATGCATTGGGTTAAGTAAAAAACCAATGCACAGAATTGGTTGCCAGAAATTGCAAACCAAAAGGTTAAGAGGTCAGTCTGGAACAATTGAGTTTCCTTTTGCTGTCCCTAGACATTCCCAGACAATCCATGGTATATACCAACAATTATTAGGGAACCGGCGCTAAAAAACACACACACACACAAACAAACACACCCAAATTGGTGCCCCAAACATTCCCAGACAATCCACGATACTATGACATTTGACCCGTGAGGGTAAACGTGGGCCCACCCGCGGTGACCAAACAGGCAGAGGTCGCGGCAGGCATCCACATGGCCCTGCTCAGCTGCCAGGTGTAAGGCTCGAAGCCCCGAATTGTCCTCCGGACGGAAGACCGGTGTCCGGCGCGAGTTTTTTCATTTGTCTTTGTTATTTTTTTTTATTTTTTATTTTGTTTATCTTTTGTGTTTTTTTGGGGGGTGGAATCCAATGCCTATGACACTGTGGGTTTGCATGGTTGCGAAATCCGCTTCTCGCACCTGAGAAACCATGGTCGAAACCATGGTGGTGGGTATTTACAGGGGAACCATCAGAAACCGGCGGTTTCGCAACCATCCACAGTAGGTCTCTAGCTCCAACAGTTTGTACCTGGCTACCTCTTGCTCTGAGCTTCAGTAGGTATTTGAACATCTGGGATTGCCAGAGTGATGCCGGCTGTTTTGCTCAGGGTGACATCTTACCTGTGACGAAGACTGCAGTTGGAGTAAGGGAGTTCATGTTGGCTGCCAAACACATGACAAATGGGTGCTGTCTCAAAATATGCTGTCTTTGGTTGCATTTTGAAACACCCTCAAAAAGGGTACCAACTTTAAGGAATACGCACCGTGTGCTTGTGGGATCTTGTGGGGTGCCAACACTTGAAAAAATGCGATCGGTTATAATCATGATCTGAATGATTGGGCAAAGTTGCCGTTGTCATTCCATTGGCAAGATGTCACACTAAACTGACAATCACAATTAATTTCGCTTTTGTTTTACCAACGAACCCACCGGAGCGGCGGGCCCCTGAGAACATAGTCCCAGTCAGGCTCCGATTGCGGTTGAGGACTTGAGTCCTCCTGCAGACTCAAGTTCTCAACCGCAATCGGAGCCTGACCGGGACGTGTCCTTGCAGGAGTATGAGTGTTGCTCTTGACATGCGAATCTTTCGCATGCAGATGATTTGAGCTGACCCTCACGGGGGTCATCTCACATGCAAGTGCTATGCGCTGACCTCACTCAAGTTTGAGGTTATGACAGGCAGGAATTTTCGGTCACCAGGCAGTGCGGGGGCTTCGATCTTCACTGGTCTGACTCCGCCGTGATCAACAAAAAGATACCGGTTGAGGACTTGAGAGACCTGGAGGAGGGTTCATGGCAACCAGTGACCAGTTCGATTTACCTGGCAACACCCCATATGTGGCCTTTTGGATACATAGGTGGCCCGGTAGATGGAATAAAGCCCATCTCACAAACCAGTGGAACCCATCTATTTTCAATCACACTATCCAAAAAACTTCCGCAGCAGGGGTTTGCGGTCCCCCTCTGAGAAAAGTGCGCTGAGGCGCCCCTGGGGAAATGACAAGTGAACACATGGGGCTTGATCAATATTCCGTTCGGCTCCAGTTTTGACCATGGGTAACTTATCCCATGTGGTTGAAATATCGCTCTTCTTTCGTTGTTTCCCCCCATTGGTCACCCCATATAGAGTAAAGGACCTTTAAGAAACCCTCACATGGAAGCTATGCCCATCCCCCTTAACCAAAAGACAACACACATTTCAATTCTTGTGGGCTGACTGCCCTCAGGCTTCCAGCGTGGATAGGGGCCCCTGCAGAGATTGGCGCCTTTTTCCCTAGGTTTCCCTGGAAAAACGGCAAAACACCACCAAACCGTCCCAAAGCAGCCATCTTTCGCTTCGGAAGGACCCGCCAGCCCCTGTCGGACTGTCCCGGCTATCCACGAGGGCTCCACCGCACTCGATCCTCACGTCCGGAAGACAGAATCCGGCGCACGCTCGACTCATGGCTCAGCAAATCAACCTCCTTTACATATGTATATATTCATATGCATGTAGGTATATATGTGTGTGTACATGTATCCGCAAAAACCTTTTATGTCCATTCAAGAATCCCGTGCAGTTGCTGCGATGGCTCGTTCTCAACGAGACCAAGAACTCTTGACTGAGACGGTGGCAGCACCTCGCACACATGGCCGTGGCCACCGAGCGCAGCAAAGTGCCTCCGGCAGTCTCGCCGCCCTTCCGGTTAAATACCAACCAACGTTACTGAGTTCAACGATGGCGGGAAAGTGGTGCAGGCTATCGTCACAGTATCAAAACTCCTATGGCCTATGGTCATGGATGCAACAATGAGAATCGGTCTAACGGTCATTAACGATCTTAGGTGGATGACCATCCCTGTTAACCCCAATTCAAGCGAGCATGTCTGTCTCCAAGCCCCTCTGACCAGAGGGACCCTATATTAATAAATATGTCTTGCCCGGAGAGTATTTATTATTAGGGGGGTCCGCATGTATTATTAATTATGGGATTGACTCACGAATTGTGAAACTTCCTGGTGATCTACATTTTAACAACGTCAACACCTGGTACGAGTGGTCTGTCTACCCACAACCAGGAAAGCAAAAAGGCGGCTCAACTTATTTACGAGTTCGTTTGCCCGGGCTTTGTTTGTGGCTCCCATTGGGGAGTAGGTGCCCTAGTCAAACTGTGACATCCCAAACGATTCCAAAGCAAGGCTGAAATTCTGACTTCGCAGCACTGCGATGAATCCTGGGCTGCGAAGCATCTGTGTTTCCTCTATTTGGTGACCTCGTTCAGGCCCCATAGGGTTCATCCCTGCAAAGAAGGGGATTGGGGTTGGGTGGGGGGGGGAGAACAAGGCGAGGGGCGGTGGCCTCCCAGTTTCTGCAGCCAGAGATATCTGGAACCAGAAACGGGGCTCCCTCGAAAATGGCCCCGAATCCAATTCCTCGAGGCCCGTGTGATGCATTGCGAACACTTGCAATCAGAAGGCTTGCCTCGCCGAAAGGCCAAGAAACCAGAGAGGATGCGCTTCAAAGAACCCGAGGACTTTTCTGCCTTTTGAACCCCTCGGAAAGGGATGGGATCAGCTTTGTTGCCCCCAAAATCATCTTAGAATCTTGGAAGCCTGTTTCATACTTGTCGTAGAACCTTCAACGAGATGAACAAAGCAACCCCAGGCTACTCTTGGACTCCCCCCTTAAACCCAGCCCGAGAAGGGAAGCCTCTGCGAAGCTTCTGGGTCCATGGATCCCAAAATGGGTGAGGTATATGATGGTATATGTCAAATCGGGAACCAAATATGGTTCGCTGTTGGTGTCCCGCCGAAAAAAATGGGGTTGCCATTGTTTTTGTTTTGTTTGCTTTTTGTTTTGTTTTTTTGTTCTAAGAAGAAAAAACAAAACAAAAACTGACGACCCTGCCACAAAATGCGAGGGGGTTCCCCGCAAAGTCGTTCCCGGCAAAGTCAAATCGAAGAAAGGTTCTTCTGCCGTGCGGCAGAGGCGAGGCGCCACAGGGCTCGTCTGCTGACTGCAGCTCCTTACCAGCCGATTCATTCCGTGCTCGAGGAAATCCTACCCCTTTGTGATTTGCCAAAAAACCAGTAAGATGGAAATAGCTGAAAGACATTGAAAGACATGAGCAAAATAGGTGGCTGAAATGAGTGTCGAATGGTGAAACCGCTATCGTTTGTCCTTGTTTCAATCAAGTCCAGGACAGGGAGTGAGACAGCGAAAACCTGTGTGGCTCCCATTTCTTCGGGTCAAAGCGGACGCCCAATGGGCGTTACATCAGTTTGCTCTGCCATCCGTAGCAAAGCACCTGTCCAAACTCCCCCCACCTTCGCATGAACCAGCCATGATCATTGTCCTTCAAAACCAAGCCTTACAAATGGGCAAATTCGCCCACGCCAACATGGATTTTGCTTTTTTGTTGGCTTGTTGAAACCCACCAAAGTGGGGCTCCGCACTCAGATGGCCCATACCGCATCAGGTTTCATAGGATTTGAGGCGCCTTTCTGTCCGATCCAAGGCCCCCGGCAGATGACCAGTGCTTCAGCAGCCACCTCACCACCTGTGCCCCCAGCACGGGGTGTGTCGTTTTAAGGGGGTCCCAAAAGGGATGGCCTGTTGGTTTCCCTGGAGCCCCCCCCAAACAGAACAACAACAACAGCAATTCGCCATAAAAGCAAAAACACACATACGGAAGAAGAAAAAACAATCACTACATCGCGAACGCTGGCAAAGTTTGTATCGCAAGCAAAACAACACCAATCTGAAGAAAAGACATGGCCACCCAAGAAACCAATCTTCGTTGCGGGTTCTTGGCCGCAAATTGCATAACTTTGATGGGACGCTATGATTTGCCCCAACATGTGTCCATACATACATACAGTCCATTCCATTCAATTACATTACATTGCATTACGTTACATTACCTTACATTGCTTGTCATTACATGACATTACATGACATTACATTGCATTACACTACATTATGTTACATTCATACATATATGCATACATTACATTACATTACATTGCATCCCACTACATTGCATTACATTTCAGTACATTGCATTACATACACTACATTCATTGCATACATTGCATACATTGCATAAATTGCATACATTGCATACATATACCTGCATACAAAACATAACATAACATAGCATACAACATAACATTACATGCATACATTACAACCATTACATACATTACATACACTACATACATTACATACAATACATACATTAACATACATTACATACATAACATACATTACATACATTAACATACTTTACATACATAACATACAGAACATAGATACATACATAACATACATACATGACATAGATACATACATAACATACATACATACGTACGTACGTACATACATACATAACATAACATAACATAACATAACATAACATACATACATACATACATTACATTACATTCCATTACATTACATTACATACATACATACATTAGATACATACATTACACTACATTACATTAGATTACATTAGATTACATTACATATCATACATAACATAAATACATTGACATACATAGCATACATACATCACATACATACATTCATACATACATATTTATACATACATACATACATACATACATACATACATTACATTACATTACATTACATTACATTACATTACATTACATTACATACATACATACATACATTACATACATACATACATACATACATACATACATACATACATACATACATTACATTACATTACATTACCTTACCTTACATTACATACATACATACATACATTACATACATATATACATACATACATTACACTACATTACATTACATTACAATACATTACAGTACATTACATTACAATACATTAATACATACATACATACATACATACATACATTGCATTACGTTACATTACATTACATTGCATTACATTACATTACATACATACATACATTGCATACATACATACACACATACATACATACATACATACATACATACATACACACACACATACATATATACATACACACGCATACATACATACGTACATACATACAGACATACATACATACATATATTACATACATACATACATACATATATAATACATACATAAATACATTACATTACATTACATTACATTACACTACACTACATTACATACATACATACATTACATACATACATACATACATACATTACATACATTACATTAAATTCATACATACATTACATACATACATACATTACATACATACATACATACAAACATACAAACTTACAAACATACAAACATACATTACATACACTACATACATTACATACATTACATACATTACATACATTACATACATTACATACATACATACATACATTACATACATACATACATACATACATACATACATACATACATACATACATTACATACATACATACATAACATAACATAACATAACATAACATGACATAACATAACATACATACATACATTACATACATACATACATACATTACATACATACATACATACATACATACATACATGCATTACATTACATACATACATACATACATTACATACATACATACAGTACATGATATAGATACATTGCATACATACATACATACATACATACATACATTACATACATACATACATGCATTCCACTGCATTACATGCATACATACATACATCCATTACATAACATACATACATTACATACATAACATAACATAACATTACATTACATTGAATTACATGCATACATACATACATATATACATACATACATGCATACATACATACATGCATACATACATACATACATTACATACATACATACATACATACATTGCATTACATTGCAATACATTGCATTACATTACATTACATACGCTACATACATACGTACGTACATACATACATTGCATACATACATTACATACATACATACATACGTACATTGCATACATTGCATACATACATACATACATACATACATACATTACATACATACTCACATATATATACATACACACATACATACATACATACATACATACATACATTACATACATACATACATACATACATACATACATACATACATACATACATACATACATACATACATACATACATACATACATACATACATACATACATACATACATACATACATACATACATACATACATACATACATACATACATACATACATACATACATACATACATACATACATACATACATACATACATACATACATACATACATACATACATACATACATACATACATACATACATACATACATACATACATACATACATACATACATACATACATACATACATACATACATACATACATACATACATACATACATACATACATACATACATACATACATACATACATACATACATACATACATACATACATACATACATACATACATACATACATACATACATACATACATACATACATACATACATACATACATACATACATACATACATACATACATACATACATACATACATACATACATACATACATACATACATACATACATACATACATACATACATACATACATACATACATACATACATACATACATACATACATACATACATACATACATACATACATACATACATACATACATACATACATACATACATACATACATACATACATACATACATACATACATACATACATACATACATACATACATACATACATACATACATACATACATTACATACATACATACATACATACATACATACATACATACATACATACATACATACATACATACATACATACATACATACATACATACATACATACATACATACATACATACATACATACATACATACATACATACATACATACATACATACATACATACATACATACATACATACATACATACATACATACATACATACATACATACATACATACATACATACATACATACATACATACATACATACATACATACATACATACATACATACATACATACATACATACATACATACATACATACATTACATACATACATACATACATACATACATACATACATACATACATACATACATACATACATACATACATACATACATACATACATACATACATTACATTACATACATACATACATACATACATACATTACATACATACAAACATACATACATACATGCATGCATACATACATACATACATACATACATACATTACATACGTACATACATACATACATACATACATGCATACATACATACATACATACATACATACATTACATACATACACACATATATATATACATACATACATACATACATACATACACACATACATACATACATACATACATACATACATACATACATACATTACATACATACATTACCTACATACCTACATACCTACATACCTACATACCTACATACATACATACATACATACATACATACATACATACATACATTACATTGCGTACATACATTACATTCATACATACATACGTACATACATACATTACATTACATTACATTACATTATTACATTACATTACATACATTACATTACATTGCAGTAGAGTACATTACATTACATATACATTACATTACATTACATTACATTACATTACATTACATACATACATACATACATATACATTACATTACATTACATTACATTACATTACATTACATACATACAATACATGAATGATTCCGGCTTCTTAAATATGTGCGTATTTAACCTCTACTCCAAGAAGCTATAAAAAGAAAGGTGCACACACACATAAACTTGATTTTGAATCTGTTGCTTACCAAGAAACTGATTGCAACAAAATGCACAAATTATTGTTGATAACCCCGTCTGAAAACCATACGCAACTTGTTCGTTTATATGCTTTGCAAAACAAGGTTCCCGCAAGAACCTGTTTATCATTGAGAACCTTTTACAAAAGCAAAGTTCTTGGAGTCGAGGGCACCACATACTGGGGATTGGACGAAATCCTGCACCACCGTCCCTGGAATGATGCGAGTTTTCCGTGTAGACACCAACACAGAGTCTGGCTTCCGGCTCGTGGTAACTCGACGTCCGGGGGTCCCGACATCTGGGCGCCCAGAGGACGCCGCGTGGCAAAGCAGGGGCCGGCCGTGCGGGAACCTAAGGTGAGGTTCCAGGGGTCAGTGGAGCTTTCTCTGGTTCTCTTGGGTCCCAAAGGACGCCCTGAGCAAAGCATGGCAACAAGAAAAGCTTCACGCAAACATCGCCAAGCATCACCAAGTTGCAAACTCACGGGCCCTAGGAATGCACCCTGTGGACTCTTGGAGCCCTCCGTTTCACTCTCCGGCCGAGTTTGTGGTCTGCTTTCAGGGCTCAAAGGGATCTGATCTGTTTTTTCGGGGCTTGTCTCAAAAAGCCAACAGACACCAAGCAGTACACCATGGGTGGATCGATTCTATTTCCGTCGTTGAACCCACTGCGCGCATCGGATCGGGGCCCTCGCCGTACAAGGCCTGCGAGCGCCCGCCGCGAGCTTGCGAGTCTTGAAAGGGGCCCTTAGGCAAAGGCTACCCCGGTTTGCGGTAAAGGGAAGCCAAAAGGAGAACCGGAATCCATGTTGGGAAGACTCAGCCATTTGGAGATGTGTCCACTCACTCATTGCCGTAATGCGCATGATGGCAAATTCCGAAAACAACTGGCCCTCTTGCAAAACCAACGACCCTTCCAGTTGCTTGTTCTGTTGCTTGTGCTTCTTCAAACGCGGGCCTCGTAGTTTTGCAACACTCACCCATTGGTCACCAATGCATATGGAGAAAAGCAACAATAATCAGGTGGCAAAAAGGCTGTCCTTCAGCCGGCGTTGAAGAAAAAATGACATACCTCATTCAAAGGGACATGCACATCTAATCTGGAGTCCTTGGTTTTTCAAGAAGGCCTGCAAAACCCTCTTCGGCTCATCAGGGAAGGCAATTTTCACGCCCTCTCATCTTACATGATTAGAGGGAGAGTTTCAGCTTCCAAAGCCAAGTCTGGCCAAATGCCCGGAAGGAGCTATTCGCCTCGGCCTCCCTTTCGCCTCAAATTCCTGCGCTAACCCATAACAAAAAAAAACACCACCAAGAGCACCGGTTTCTATAGCGATGTCTCGCAAAAAAAAGATAAGAAAAAGCCAATGGAGTTCAATCTTAAGCGAGGCATTCTTGCACGTCCCCTTTAAACGTCAAGGGACACCATCTTGGCCCAACAAATAGTTCAGAGGCTATGAATTTCAATTTGTGCAACCCTCGAAAGAAAATCCGAATGATGTCCAACAGCTCCCCGATTAAGAGATTCACATCCATAACATCCCACAACTGTGGTTTCCCATTTGTCCTCTACAAGAACCGGGGGTTCAATCCCGAATCCAAAGCACCAGCCCAAACTAATCCAAACCAATCCAAGCCAAACCAAACCAATCCAAGCGAATCCAAACCAATCCAAAACGCCAATCAAGCGTTGCCTGAAACAGGGGGAACAAAAACATACTCTTCCTCCCTGTAACATACAATCAGTCGGGAGGTACCTGGAAGGTCAACTTCCTCTTGGAGGGACCCACTGTTAGGTGCCATGGAAACGTAAAAACAAAGAACATACCCTCCCCCAACATGGACGCTCCAGGACCCTTTTGGAAGGCGTGGTTCCATTTACAGCCGTTTGGAAGCGTCCATCGTCTGAGGGGAGGCTACTCTTCAGCAAAAAGGCTTCCTTTTGAAGGTGCTCCAGGGGTGGTTTCCCATTTTCCAAACCACCAATGCAAACCATCAATCCAAGAAACAGGAGGAAATTTAAAAAAAGACTCTCAAGCAAAACGTTCCCTGGCCACGGCACCTTCCAGCGTGTGCATCAGGCCACTGCTCTTTGAAGCACCCAAGGCCTGGCGCTACATGATGCCCACAGTGGAGGTGTGTGCGGTTGTGTGTTTTTTGATTTTAGGACCCCCAGCAATGGAGTTCGGTGTTTTTGTTGTTTGATGTTTTTTGGTTTTGCTTCAACACCACCAAAAAATGGGGGGCAAAGAAAAAACAAACAACGACCAACTTGACCACATATACGGCAGAATGGGATATCCGAAGCTGACAGGCAAGCGAGCCGGCTGCACGCAACACACCAAATCCATCATGGACGTTTCGCCTCGCACATTTCACCCGGCGAAGCATACGCTGGGAGACGCGCATGGAGCCAATAAGTAAACTCCGCAAGAACGAGCCTTTTTCGGCGCACGGCCAAGCCAAAAAAGTCGTTCTTTGATCTTGTTTTCTTTCTTTGGCGGGGGGGGGGGGGGGATGTTTTGTTCTGCGCAGAAATGGCAACTCCGCCGGATGATCGTCTCCCGTACCGTACGATGGAATTTGGGGGGGAGGGGGGGGTTTGGATACACCTGTTCAGCGATAAGATCAAGTGTCAAGTGCGGGGAAGGATACCTATTGGCCGATCGAAAATATGCCTGTGGCTTTAAATAACGCACCAGTCGTTTCTGTGTGAAGTTCGTGAACTCCCTGATTTCCTCCCCTCTTGGGTTGTATCAGCCTCTGGGTAATTTACTCTGAGCCAAGGTCATGGTGTCGAATCTGCTGCTGTCCACGGGCTTCTCCTTCTTCTTTTCTGCAACCCGCGAGATCTCCTGTCTCTGCTGCATTGCCTCGCCAATGCTGAAGGATCGCAGGGCAGGCCACAGGGAGAGCCGTCCATGTCAATGGCCACTCGCATTGCGCAAAGTGCCTCGAACGCCTTCGAACTCCAGGCGCGCTCTGTGCTAGTGAAATATTCGGGTGGCAGGTGTTTGAGACGCTCTGGCCGATCCAACTGCACCAACAGGTTCAAGAAGCTAAAAGAAGGTCCTGGAACCTTCTCGTCTGTCACGGCCGCATGAGAGACGCGGTCGCATGTGAGCAGTGGACCAAGTCCACCAGACTGTTGCCTGAAGCGGCGCAACTCCAGGCACCGGTGGCCACCTTTCAGGCCTCGCAACGCATAGTGTACATGCTCACATGCTATCTGCTCTCTCGAAACCAAAGCACGGGCATGCCCAGTCTCGAAAGAACTTCTTGCAGTCTTCAAAGCTGAACGCAGCAAGGTTCTTATGCTCCAACTGTGTATCACAGTTGGCTTTCGATTCCATACCACCGGCGCAGTGCGGAATGACCGGCACCAAGCCCGCAATTTGGCTGGCAAGCACTGCAAAAGCCCCCGGACAAGAAGTAGTGCGGCCATGACTTGCTCCAAAACTATTTTTGCTCCAAGAAATACTCTGTTTCCATGGCTGGCATCAGCTCCCATCCGGCACCAGTGCCGCCGTTGAAGTTCAGCCCTACGCGAGATATTGCCTACGATTGGAAGCTTTGGTTCCGCTTTAGCAAGCGTTCCACCTCGAAGCCTCAACGTGACTTGCCACGCTCATGGCATGCTCCAGCAGCGGGCTGTCTCCAACCTGAAAAACGATGGCATACTCCAGCAGCGGGCTTTGAACCTGAAAAACATCACACCTACGTATGTCAAGGTCTCCTCCCGGCCGATCTCTGGGCCACCCTGCGCTGCTGCTCGGTCCTCGTGGCTCACAGAAACAAGCAGGAGCTCCAGCTGAGTCGCATCAAAACCCGGCAGCAAAATGGTTCACCCAATAATCGTGTAAAGAACTAAAACAGGCCGCCGCACCCCATGAAAAGGCTGGGAGTGTCCCTTACCCTCCAAGTACCCGGGTTTGATTGTGACTCAGCTGTTTACGCGCTGGCTTGGGCTGGGGAGGTAGGCTTGTACACCAATGTCACTTACATTCACGGCTGAAAGGGCGCCTCGAGCAAGGCGCAAGGAACCAACATTTTATCATGATACGTGCCCAAAAGGCGGGTCGTTGCTAGGAGACTAGAGGGTTCATTGCCCAACTCATTTCAGTCGGCAACCAAATGAGGTCTACTGCAGACAGACCTAGCAAACAGTGAGATAAGCCATCTATGACAGAAAGAGCCGAACCTGTTGGAGAAGGTTCAAGATCCATTTGCTGCTGCGGTCTCAACCATCATATTCCCCTTTGCTAGAACATGGAACCCCCAAAATGACCCCATTTCTAGAGGAAACTCCTGTTAGCCCCACCCTCCAAAGGGGTCCCTCCGATTAGCAAAAACGGCCTTCCCGAGCTCCAGCCAGGCCGCTTCGTCGTGAGACTTCCGGCCTACGTGCTTGTGGGGTCTGGAAAAGAAAGACACCTCAGGTTGACCACAGCTCCATGCTGTCCGTAGCCCCTTGGGGACCCGGAAAAAGCAACTTTATGGAACTCTACTACACCGAAATCGGAAAAACAGCGGTCAACAAGTGTGTGTTTGTTTGTTTCCGCTTTGCAACTGAGTGTTGTTCAGCAACCATTGCCCTGTGACACAGAGGCACAGACGGGTGCAATGGCTCAAAAAGTGTGAGCCAATAGCTCAAACTGCCTGCCAAAACCGGACTCACCCGCCCCCTAGTTTCTCATGCTTCACTTAAACAGAACGCTTGGCTGTTTCACTTGCGGCCACCCTGATTCGTCAACAGGTTATTCATTCACAAGCTCTGATTGTCTGAAATTCAAGTTCCGGGTGATCAACATTGGAGAAACATGAGCGCCAACTCCTTGAATTGGGATGTCGAGCGCGGCTCCTTACGTGCCGAAAACTTCTCAGGAACCTCGGAAGTGTCCAGCATGAAGCCAACGAAGTGTAAACAACTGATCCATGGGGGACCTTTCAAATGTGTCGTAGGCGGATTTACAGGCCTACATCGGCCTCCACTTAGGAAATCTTTCCTGCAAGAACCAGGGCTTCAATCCCCTAAACCAATCCACGCCATGCTCTGCGCAATCTGAAGCCAAAGGCAACAGGGCTCCAAAAAGCCTGGTTTCTTCGGGTGCCAACCTGCTTTTGCTGGGTTTCTTGAGGGAATCCCCCCCCCAGGCCCACAAAAGCACATGTGCCCAACCATGGGTGAAGGTTCTGGTCCTCCAACCTGCTGCAGCCCTCTAACCTGATCTGTGTTTTTGATTTCTGGCTCCCTCCAAAGTGTTTTCCCAAAAAAATTGCCAGCACCCCACGGATTCAAACATTTTTTAACCCAACCCACCAGCTCCTCCCCCCCCCACCCCCCAAAAAATACAAGAACATATATTGAGCGCAGTAGTTGAACCCATGATTTTAAAAAAAATAATTTCTCAAAATAGTCCATAAAATATTAAATAAGGTTAATACATTATTCATATTCAGTAACCTTATCGAATTCCTTGAAAATAATTTTACTTCATTGAAATATTATATAAGGTTAAGAAGTTATTCTACATATTAACCTTATACAATTTTATGTAAAATATTTATTAATAAAAATAATGTTAATTTTCTTCTGCCTGTTTCATTTCTAAATTTATTTTATGCTTATTTGTTTTAAGATGTTGATAATAACTGTCTTGCCTCATTGAACGATTACAAACATCACAACTTACAATATTCCTTGACCTTTCCTTTTTTGCTCCCTGCCTCTTTATTCTATATTCATCATCTTCTTCATATCTGCTTCGTTGCTCCTCATTGTATTTGTCTTTATTCTTTGCTCTATGATTTACATTATATTCATTACATTTTCTACAACCTAACCTACCTTCTTCAAATTCATGTAATGTTTTTTCCTTATTACATTTATTACATCTGCGACTATTATCTTTGTCTGTTGTATTTTCTGCCATAATCCTTAATATATAATATCTACATTCCTTTAAACCATTTTCTTATAATCCATAGTTTCTATAATCAATATTCCTGGAAACTAAATCTATAAATCCAAATCATAAATCTTACAATAAAATTAAATTGTAAGGTTTATGGGTTAAAATAATAGTCAGGAATATGTCTTCAAATATGTAATCTACATATTTACCTATATCATCTTCATCTATATATTTGATATTGTCTTTTCCTATTATTGAATAAATATATTCCCAGAAAAACAAATTAACTAATAGACATACTTTATATTTAGTGTTGTAGTAATACCATATACTATATTCAGTTACTCTAAATTCGTTCAAGACTTCATTTATTTTATCTTTGTCTAATAAATGCCAGTCAATCCATTCAAACAAATAACGGTATTTTTTGACAAATGCTTTATATGGTTTAATTGCGTTTATTCCTCCAAACCTCCTAATTAAATCTATATTACTAAAGAATTCATCAATTTCATTTTCAAATGACTTTCTGGAAATCTTCTGGTAAAAGTGTATAGGAAATCTTGCTTGGTGTCGCATAAAGAATTTTAACTGTAATTGAAACTTTGTATATCCCTTATCCTTATGTTCTTCAACAAAAAACTTTTCAAGGTCTCTTGTTATACAGCATTGATTGCAATATACATTATATTCACTTATTTTATTACATAGATTGGCGGGTAATAACTTACACAATGTTATATTAACATCATTCTTTGTATTTTTACAGAATTCGCACTTGTTATAGTTAAACAACATTTCACTATATTATATTGAGTCATTATTTCCTTAAGTCATTTTTAGCGAAGTACATGAGATATTTTTTGTTTTTGTATTTCTATAAGTCGTTCATATCCTCTGACCACTCCGTCAAAACTAAACACATAATTTACAGAACTTTCACCTGCTAATTCACAAGTTTTTATTAATTCATTAAAATCTTTTTTCAACTGCGTCTCATCATGCTCTAATTCAAGGCATGATTTAAACCCTTCATAAAAGTCTTTCTTGTTAGTTTTAAAGTATTTAACATCTAGCAAAGCATATTTATCTCTTTCATCTTCATAGTGTTCTTTTACCTTTCTCATTTCTTTTATTAATTCTATTCGTTCTTTTATTTCTGCGTGTATCTTCATTACTACATTAAGTCATCATCTCTTTAATTCTCCAGTGATGATGACTATGTCATCATATTATTCCATTTTCAATAGAATAATGACCATATGCTAAACTATCACCTGTATTAGTCCAGTATCTTTTATTTTCATAACTATTCAAACAAATTTTTGTTGTTCTAATACTATAAATTTTATGGTTTTTACTTCTAATACTATTGAATGGTTTATGTATAACTTCATTAGTTTGTAAAACCTTATCATATTCTTTATATGTCAGTTGCCTCCTCACTATGTGCTTTGCTGTGCCCTTGCATTTCTTATGTTCCTCCTCTTCCCCTAGTATTTTGAATGAGTAGCATTTTGGTCGTAGTGCTATGAAATCTGTTATGATTTTTCCGTGAGTTTCATCCTTAAATTTACCCAACGTCTTTTTATTAGTAGTATCATAGCATTTATGATAAATAGGATAATCTGAAAAATCCATTTCATCTTTAATATCATGAAGATCTTTATAAATGTCATCAGTCTTAGTATGAAATACAAAACTATCAGTGTCAGTATAAACCATTCTAATATTATCTCCGTATTTAGGTTTCATAACATCATAACAAAACTTATACATATGTTGCTTACTCAAATCTAAAATACTCATTCCAATGAATATAGGTTTATCTAATTTCAATTGTGCTTTTTGTTTCTCAACTCCTACTAAATTATCGCTGATAATATGACTATGTTTAAATGATGGATTATTAACACATTTCATAAATCTTGTTTCATCACTCACTATTTCAAAATCTAAGTGTTTCCTTTTGTCTTCCATCGTTTTTCCGAACACGGCATTATTCATTAATTTGTAAACATCTTTCTCAAAATCATTGTTGGCATTCTTTCTTTTCTCAGTGTTAAATTCAATGTAAGGTTTTAATATCTCTTTCTGACTGAATTTTATTGCTCTGTGTATTTTCTTTAGTTTCAATCCGTGTTCTAAATAAAACTGTAAAGTTCTAATATGGACTACATACTTTTCTTTGTCTTTTAAATTCAATATTAATTTATTTGTGTTTTCATCTTTAGGTTTTTTCTTATTCAGTATTTCATAAATTTCAACTTGTTTAACTGATAACATATCTGCTTTAACATTCATAATTTCAGGTGCCATTGGATAGTCATTGTGTAAATCGTGTAGTTCTCTAGGGTATTCTAAATCAACTTCTAAGATGTATCCAGTATTACCATTAGCATAGTTTAAAATATCATCTTCTGTTATTTTAGTATCCCACTTTAAATTTTTGTATGGCAGTTTTTGTATCATTGCTAATCCATATAAGTTATTAGCATCAAAATAGTTAATATAACTACTTTCTTTGCTTTCATCAAAATCATCGCCCATATAAATATTATTTGCCTCTACTTTCTTACAGGCAGTCTGTGTCATCCCACCACGAAGTCCGGTCTCTATCATTTCATACATATCTTGGTCATAAACTAAATCTATTTCAACACCAGTTAATTTTAACATAGCATCAAAAGCAAAATTAGGCAGTGTGTAATAATATACTGGATCTAAACCGTAATCTTGAATACATACATCTCTAAAATTTTCAAAAATATCAGTTAATAATAAAACATCTGTTTTCAAATACAAATCGTGATATTCACCCATGTTTTTAATCTTAAAGTGTTTCCATATTACTTTTGCTTTTTCATAATCTTCATCCGTTATATTATCCTCACTTAACCTACTGTAAAACATACCTTTAGTTGGTAAACTTTCATCTTCAAACTTTTCCATTGAATTCATATAGTCATACGGATAAACTCCTTTCTCTGTTAATAAGTCCAAACATTTTTCACTTTTAATAATATCATTATTTTTACTAAATCTGAAATTGTTCTGCCAGTTGTCTTTTATTATCCATTTTCTTTTATCTTTATCATCTGTGTTGTCATATTTTGTCAATGATACTAATTTATCTAAAGAAGCAGTTATAAAACTAAAACTGTCCTTAACACTTAAACAATCAAAACCGATATTAATAAACTTTTCACTGTTCTGTGCTATTACATCTATTTTCTTCTGATTACTTAACTTATCAGCATTTTGAATAATTAAATGTCCATCATAATTTTTCATATTATGAAAAAACACTGGTATTTTAAAGTATTTATGACAAAAGTTTAAATTACAAATGCTATGAGCACAACCCCTATATTTACCTGTGAAATGGCAATGGTCGCGAACCTTCTTATATTTCTCTGCTTCCTTTTCATTCTTATAATCATATCTAAATTTATCACCACAAATAAAACAATGAGTTGCATTTT